GTAAATGATTAGCTCTACATATTTTCATACACAACTCTCAAACAAACAACTATATGCAATATTCAAACAGAACATAGATTTTTGATAACCAGTAGAATCATAGTCATGATACAATAAGATTTAAACATTTACATTGCTTAAGAAAGTACCTTGATAGCAGTAAAAATAAATAAGTAATAAAATAAGTCTCTAAAAGCTTGAAGTAAAGCAGCAGCAACGAATGAAACCCAGTAGAATAAGAAGACGCCCGAATTTTTTTAAAATAGGAAAGAAATGTATATTTTGATTATGAAAGATCAAGGTTGATTTTCAGAAGTTTTTCTTTTGAAAGAGAGCAAAATCTTAAAGCAGTCTATAATGTATCCATAATGTGTATTCAGATCTAGAATCAATCCCCCTCTAATGAAAAAGGAGGTGTATTTATAGAGTGAGGGAGTGAAAAGGGATGAGAATTAGGGTACAAAAGAATCTGCCAGAATTCCCTATAAATTAGGAAAATGGCATCTTTCTTAACAGAAATGGACAACTATCCAATTTCTAGTACCCTCCTTATCTCAGAAAAGGGACAAGTGTCCAATTTTTGGATATTTTTGGATCTTATCCCTATTTTCCTACTCAGCATTAGGACAGTTGTCCCTATTCTAGAAGTTTCTAGTATTTTCTAAATAATTTTCAGAATTAGGATTCCAAAACTGACCTTTAAAGGTCTTGGAATTACCTCAGAACTGGATCGGTTCTGGGCCTGAGTCAGGTGACTCTCGGCCTAAGGACTTTGGGCTCTTAAGCTTTTACAAAGCTATGGACCTGTCTATTCATTCAGACAGGCCCAATTTATGAGCCAAGTAGAACGGGCCACTTCAGTGAGGCCTAGTTCTTAACCAAACAAATAACAGTAAAATAAAAAAAAATGGCGATTAATTTAACAAAATAAATAACAAAGCAGTAATACTAAAATAAACTCAGAACTAATAAAGATTAAAATAAATAATAAACAAAACAAAAAGCAAAAAAGGATAAAAAAAAGTAACAACACAGAATAAAACGCGTAATAATATAAAAATTAAGGAAAACAGAATATATCTAAGCACTGATTTTATATATATATATATATATATATATATATATATATATATTTAGTTTGTTTAATTAAATGATTTAAACAGAATATCAGACAGTAATAAATAAATAAAATAAAGAAATAAGAACAGTAATCGACACAAAATATAAAGATGAAAAACAGGAAATAATCATAAAGTATACCAAAAAAAATTAGATCTAGCCGCTAAAAACTCTCATGCCAAGACTCCCGTCTGGGATATGAGATCCTTGATGGGAGATCTTGGCAGGAGGATTATTAAATGGCCTAGGTTGAAAAAATGAAAAATAGATCTAGGGTTTTGGAGACCCTAGATCTAAGATCTAGGATTTTTTGTGTGGTTTTTGGGAATTTGGTTGGTAGGGCAAGGTTCAGGGAGGTGAGGAGAGTGTATGGTATGAGTTTGAGGGGCCTTGGAGGTCCACCGCCGCCGTAGGGCGATTTTTGGCGGCGGGGCTAGGATGGCGTTAGGGTTTTAGTTGTTTTTAGGGGTTAGATTTGTTGATTTTCTATGGGGTTTTGGGGTGAGGTGATGTTTAGGAAGTGTAATGGGATAGAATAGGGTGGATCTTAGGTGATTTGGGGTAGTTTTAGGTTGGAGGAAGATGGGGGCGGCTAGGGTTTGGAGTGGAGGTTGGAGAGATGGGGGGTCGTCTCTTAGGGTTAGAGAGAGAGATGTAGGGGGGGAGACGAAAATGAGGGGGGTAGGAGTCATTTGGACACTTAGACAAAAATGAGGGGGGTAGGAGTCATTTCGACACTTAAATACTAAGTGCCAGGTCAGTTCCGGACCTTTAGATCTAGTGAAGATCAACGGCCAGGATCGCCTGCACTTAAACGGCGTCGTTTGGTTTAGTGATGGGTCGGACTAGATTCTGGGTATTGGGCTAGATTTTAGGGATTGGGCTGGTTTTTACACTGGCCCAGTCTGTTTTTAGGCTAATTTAAACCCCATTTTATTTAATTAACTTTTAAAAATCTATTTAATTTAAACAAATCCTAAATTGAGTGCTAAATTATCTTAATTGAGTGCCCCAGTTTTCACTAGGAAACTTTCGTGAGTTATTGTAACAAAATTCTATACTACTTTATTATCGAAAGCGATAAAAGACGGGAATGGTGTACCCGGAGTAAACGTAGACTAGGGAGTGGAGGCCCTATGTCTAAAAAGTAAAATCAACTAGGGATTGGAGACCCTATGTTAGGAAACATCACCAGGTCATGCTGGTATTAACTAGGGAGTGGGACCCTATGTTGGAAAGTCATCAGGTTATGCTGGCATCAACTAGGGAGTGGGACCCTATGTTGGAAAATCATCAACTAGGGATCAGAGACCGTAGTTTTGAATTATTTTCAACATTATTTCTTCTTTTCTTCCTTTATTTTTCAGAGGATGAGTGAATGCGGGAAAGAATTTTGGAGGAGACTTCCCTTTTGAAGCTGTTGTTGCAAAGTTGTTTCCAGCCTTTGCGCGATTTTCCTTTTGGTAGCCCCTGCTTTTGCAAGATTGCTTTCGGGTTGCACCTGTTTCCTGTTTTCTTCAACAAAGAACAATTTGTTAGTTTGAAACGGTGGTTGGTTTTGTGGCTTTGATTATTTGGTCACTCGATCTTGGCCCGTCTTTTGGACGAAGATTTTGATTGCTTGTTGGCTCGCTGGGGATTGGTTTCATTTCTAACATTAGAGATCTTGACTTTTCCAAAATCTTACCATGACGGTTAATCATGTGGGACTTAAGCTTCTTTAACTTTATTTTATCTTTGTGGCACTTTGACTTTAATCCCTTTCCTTTCGGGAATTCTTGATTTCGAAGCATCAGCTATCACGGCCGGTCGAGGTCGACTCGATGTACCTGCCGAGGCTGGGCGCTTTTTGCATACCAACTTGTATCAAATGAGAACCTTATAGATCGGTCTTTCCATCCTTTCTTTGTCTCAATTTAGAATAGAATTGGACCGAAAGGTATTGAAAGAAAATAAATGACGGAATGGATAAAAGAATTTAGACAAGAGGTATCCCATTCAGGGAAGGGAAAGAAGGACTTATCTGGAGTGTATGCGGACTTCAATGAACATGACATGCCTCTTGGACTGGATGCCTGATCTGTGCGAACCGTCCAACTCTCAGAAATTCACCATAACTTATACTTCAAGATTGAGAAACCTTGCCCAAGACTGTGTCCATGTCAGCGACCAATTATCCTTTTTTCGATCAGTGGTGCCCTTTGCGGGTTTTCACCAGCTAACCTCTCTCATTTCTCTTCTCACAATCGCCTTGTAGTACTCTTTGTGAGTTTTCACTAACGAGGCTCTCTCATTTTCAATTTCTTTGCTTATCATCGCCTCATGGTGCCCGTGTGAGTTTTCACCGATAAGACTCTCTCATTTTATTTCTCTCATTTGGGTTGTATCAGATCTGAGTAACTGTATCCTCCAATTTTGACATCTTTACCGATTGATCGGAAGGACTTGAACAGGATTTGGGTAGAATTTGAATTGTATTACAACTTTGGAACCTTTCAGGCGAAAGCGCCGCCAAACCACTATAAATTCTGCCCCAGTTTCATCTTCGGGGGAATTTGGATTTTTATTTTGGTGTGACTGAACCCCAGAGTGAGGCTGCCTACATATCCTTTCGAAATCAAGTCGAACGTAGTTTAAGGAAATATTTTGTTTTTGTTTCGATTGATTGATTTGATTTGATTTTTTGTTTTTTGATAATTGAATTTTCAGGTTCCAAGGAGGGTGATCAAAGAAGAGTAGCCGGCTCAAAGAGTTTACAAAAAGTTGATAGTGTTTGGGTAGCGAGAATGAAAGCTTTCGTCATCCCAATCGGAGAGTATTAAGACCGCAAAAGGGGTTAAACATAATACCTTTTGACCGCATCTGCATTGACAGCTGTTTCGGGGTCATTCCCTTCAATGTCTCCCAAGTACAATGCCCCCTTCGACAACAGTTTTCTTATAATGTATGGACCTTTTCAATTTGGAGCAAATTTTCCTTTTGCTTCCTTGTGATGCGGGAGAATACGTCTCAGAACGAGTTGCCCCACTTCGAATTTCCTGGGTCGCACTTTCTTGTTGCAGGCACGGGCCATTTTTTGTCGGTACAACTGCCCTTGACAAACTGCGGCCATCCGCTTTTCATCAATCATAGTTAATTGTTCCAGCCGGGTCTTGACCCATTCATCATCCTTGATCTCAGCTTCAACAATGATTCGAAAATAGGGAATTTCAACTTCTGCAGGTATTACAGCTTCAATTCCATAAACCAATAAGTAAGGCGTGGCCCCAACCGATGTGCGCACGGTTATGCGATATCCCATTAATGCGAAAGGCAGCTTCTTATGCCATTGTCTAGAACTTTGAATCAATTTCCTGAGGATCTTCTTGATGTTTTTATTTGCCGCTTCAACGACACCATTGGCTTTGGGTCGGTAAGGGGTAGAATTACGATGCATAATTTTAAAATATTCGCATACCTCCCTCATTAGATGACTATTCAGATTTGCGGCATTGTCGGTAATGATGGTTTTTGGAATACCAAAACGACAGATAATGTTGGAATGTACGAAGTCCACCACTGCTTTTTTGGTGACGGCTTTAAAAGTGACCGCTTCGACCCATTTTGTGAAGTAATCAATGGCAACCAAGATGAACTTGTGCCCATTTTGAGGCTTTCAGCTCAATTGGCCTAATGACATCCATACCCCAAGCAACAAACGACCAAGGTGCTGACATAGGATGTAACTCTGAAAGCGGTGCATGAATCAGGTCACCGTGTATCTGACACTGATGACACTTTCGGACAAAACTGAAGCAATCCTTTTCCATGGTCATCCAGTAATAACCTGCCCGCAGGATTTTCTTTGCCAGGACATATCCGTTCATGTAGGACCCGCATACTCCTGAATGCACTTCATTCATGATCTTTTCAGTTTCTTTGGCATCCACACACCTTAAAAGATTCAGATCTGGAGTTCTCTTATACAACACTTCTCCGCTTAAGAAGAAACTGCTGGCAAGCCTTCTGATGGTTCTTTTTTGGTCTCCATTGGCCTGCTCAGGGTATTCCTTTGTTTTCAAGAACCTTTTAATATCATGATACCATGGCTGGTCATTTGGTTCTACTTCAACTATATTGCAATAACCATGTCTTTCTCGGATTTGAATCTCTAACGGGTCAATATGGACGTTGCTCGGATACGTCAGCATTGCAGCCAAGGTAGCTAGTGCATCAGCTAACTCATTGTGGAATCGAGGAATATACCTGAATTCAACTGATTTGAACCGTTTTCTAAGATCTTCCACATGTTGTCTATATGGGATAAGCTTGATATCTCGAGTTTCCCATTCACCTTGGGCTTGCCGAATGATCAAATCAGAATCTCCCATGATTAATAATTCTTCTACATCCATATCAATTGCCATGTTCATGCCCATGATGCAATCTTCATATTCAGCTGTGTTATTTGTACAGAAGAACCAAAGCCGGGTTGTAGCCGGATAGTGCTGACCCATGGGCGAAATCAAAATTTCCCCAATCCCAACACCCTTTGCATTTACAGCTCCATCAAAGAACATTTCCAAGTCTTAGTGTCATCTGGGATTACTTCAATTGAATTCACTTCCTCATCTGGGAAATAAGTGCTTAGGGGTTGGTATTCATCATCAACCGGGTTCTCAGCTAAATGATCGGCCAAGGCTTGGGCTTTCATGGCCGTGCGGGTGACATAGACAGTGTCAAACTCCGTAAGCGGGATTTGCCATTTGGCTAGCCTTCCCATAGGCATTGGTTTCTGGAATATGTACTTCAGGGGATCCATTTTGGTTATGAGATATGTGGTATAAGCCAATAAATAATGTCTAAGCTTTTGAGCGACCCAAGTTAAAGCACAACAAGTTCTTTCCAGCAAAGTGTACTTGGCTTCATAACGAGTAAATTTCTTGCTCAAATAGTATATGGCTTGCTCTTTCTTCCCGGCTGCATCATGTTGTCCGAGGACACAACTAAAATAATTCTCTAGAACCGTTAAGTACAAGAACAAAGGTCTTCCAGGCTCAGGCAGAACCAATACTGGCAGATTTGACAAATATTCTTTGATTTTGTCAAAAGCTTCTTGACACTCATCCGTCCATTTAATCGCTGCGTCTTTCTTTAGCAGCTTAAATATGGGCTCATACATGTTAGTAAGTTGAGCAATGAACTTAGTGATGTAATTCAACCTTCCCAGCAAGCTCATGACCTCTTTCTTAGTTTTCGGAGGTGGCAGATCTCGGATAGATTTTATCTTTGTTGGATCCAACTCAATACCCCTCCGACTGACTATAAACCCCAAAAGCTTCCTAGATGGAACTCCGAATGCACATTTAGCCGGATTCAATTTCAAATCATACATGCGCAGGCGCTCAAAGAACTTTCTCAAATCCTTCACATGGTCTTCCTGTGTTCCGGACTTAATGATCACGTCATCAACATACACCTCAATTTCCTGGTGCATCATGTCGTGAAAAATGGCAGTCATAGCCCTCATGTAAGTTGCCCCGACATTCTTCAGACCGAATGGCATGACCCTGTAACAGTAAGTCCCCCATGGTGTGGTGAAAGCTGTCTTTTCTGCATCTTCTTTATCCATAAGGACTTGATGATACCCACCATAACAATCTACAAAAGATTGTATCTTATGTTTGGCACAATTGTCAACAAGGATGTGGATTTGGGTAATGGGAAGTTGTCCTTAGGGCTTGCTTTGTTCAAATCCCTATAATCAACACATACTCGGATCTTCCCGTCTTTCTTTGGTACTGGGACTACATTGGCCAACCATGTGGTGTATCAGACTACTCGGATCACACCAGCTTTTAATTATTTGGCAACCTCTTCTTTAATATTATTGATGATGTCTGTTTTGAATTTTCTTTGCTTTTGTTGGATAGGTGGACAAGCGTGATAAGTCAGCAACTTGTGTACCACTAGATTGACACTTAGTCCTGGCATGTCATCATAAGACCATGCAAACACGTCTTTAAATTCAAACAAGAGTTGGATCAATGCATCTCTAGTTTTTCCTTGGCGTGAATGCTTATCATGGTCTCCCTGATCTCTTCTGAATTTCTCAAATTAACTGGGTCGGTTTCATTTAGGTTTGGCTTAGGCTTATTCTCAAATTGTTCTAATTCCCAATTTATTTCCCTAAAAGCCTCATCTTCTGGTTCTTGATTCATTATTTCACAGTTAGACAACGTTTTAGGATCGGGGCATGAAGTCCGCAAGCATGCCATATTATTTAAGTCTGCATTATTAGAACTGAAAAGAGAAAGATAAGAAAAATAGCAAAATCAGAAAGAATAACAGGAAAAGATTCATAGACGATGAAATATTGATTTCATTTCATTGAATTTAAAGATATGAGGGTTTACATCGGAATTTAAAAAGACAACAAACTAAAAACATTCGAGTTACACCCTGAAATAACTCGGAATGCAGAAAAGATGGCAAGACTAAACTATCGGGATTCCCGCCTGACTGGGAATGGAGTAGCCTGCCAGTTTTGCAATTTAGCATTGGGCCCCATGTATTGCACCTCAGTAGTGCTCGAGCCTTCGACCGGTTGGACCATATGGACTTCATAGAGCATTTGTCTCATTGCTTCACAGATATCCTCAATTTTGTCGGTCATGAAGGCCTCTTCTTCTTCTTCTTCTTCTATATATCTTGGCTTAACAAATAATTTGGCGAGGTGCGGTATTGGCTGAGGAAAAACCCACCCATCTTTCTTACGTTTATCGGCCCATTTTTCGTCGGCATCGGTGGCTTGGAAACCTATGCCAAAGAATTTCTTGTTGGCAGCCAAGGTGACGGGTTCTGTGATGCCCTGTAAGGATACCCCGAGCCCTTTTCCAAGCTTGTACCCATGTCTGATCATTTTGCTGGCGACCATGATTGATGCGCTTGATAAACAAGGTTGAGGGCATGGGATTCCTTCCTCACACTGGTCGGTGATCACAATTTCAAAGGCTTGATAGATGATGTGCTCACTTCCCTCTCTTGCCTCGAGGTACGGGACTGCCGGGTCCCTATAGATTGACTGTTCATCTTCTCTATGGACCACTATTTCTTGGTTCTCATGTTCAAACTTGACCATTTGATGGAGAGTAGAGGGCACGACTCCCGCTGCATGGATCTATGGTCTTCCTAACAGAAAGTTATAGGAAGTGTCTATGTCTAGAACTTGGAATGTTACTTCAAAATCTACGGGGCCAATGGTTAGGATAAGTCAATCTCCCCTATTGTGTCCATCTTGACACCATCGAAAGCACACACACAAAAATTATTTGGTTTGATCCTTTCAGTCCAAATTTCCATCCTACGCAATGTTGATAGAGGGCAAATATCGACTCCGGACCCGCAGTCCAACATGATCCTTTTCACATAATATCCCTCACACTTGACAGTCAAGTGAAGGGCCTTATTGTGGGCGGCTCCTTCGGGAGGCAAATCATTTTGGCTGAAGGAGATTCAGTTGACCTCAAAAACTCGCTCTGCCATTCTTTCTAACTGTTCAACCGTGGTCTCAATTGGAACATATGCCTCATTCAGCGTCTTTAGAAGCACCTTTTGGTGTTCGTTTGAGCTCATCAGTAGAGACAAGAGTGAAACCTGGGAAGGGGCTTTTCTCAGTTCATCAATTACAGCATACTCCGAGGTTTTCATCTTCCGGAAGAATTCCTCCGCTTCTTCAGTAGTTACCGGCTTTCTGAGGGGGAAATGCTTCTGCTTGGTTTTGTTCAATTCTTCTGGGTTATGATACTTCCTAGATTGGTTTTTTTCATTCACTTCCCCCTTAACTTCCTTCCCTTTATATGTGACAATTGTCTGATTGTAGTTCCAACGGACGATAGTAGTGTCTTTTATCGGATTTTAAGGCATGCGGCTAATGATCAAAGGCTCATACAGCCTAGGTGGAATGACTGGCCTTCGTCCTACGTAAGTCCCTTTTGGTACATACATTTTTGGCAGATTAGGCGTGGTTTTCCTCTGCTACAATCTCTTGGGAGGGCTTAACATGAGCTGTCCCTTTCTGGGGGCTCTTGGGACGTAGAGAATGGACTCTTTGGCAGGTGTTGCCCCTGTCTTTGCTTCCCCGTCCTTTTCTTCATTTTAGGGAGCAGAATTCATCTTTTTCTCATCGCTGACTTGTTTTTGCCACCGCTTTGGGTTTCTTTTCAGAGTCAGAAATGGCAATTATAGATTTTAATGCTGGGTCGAATTCTTTGTCTTCGCAGATCATCCCGATGACCGCCCCGTTGTTGTGGGCCGGTAACGGGTTGTTGGTCACATTAAGGACTTCCTCGTCCCTTAACACTACCCGCTTCTGTTCTATCAGATTCTCGACTGCTCTCTTAAGGGTCCAACAATCTTCAGTGTCATGCTCTTCTGCCCCTGAGTGATAAGCGCACCTGGTACCTGGCCTGTAGAATGGAGATTCCGGGTTCTGTTTGTTCGGAGGTACAGGTTGTAATAGGCCCATTTGGACTAATTTTGGGAAGAGGCTGGAGTAAGATTCACCAATGTGGGTGAAGTCAGTTTTCCTGGGTGGTTCACGGGGACGGGTGTTATACTGGTAATTTTTTGAGGTGGACGGGGATTATATGGAGCTTGGTGAGGAGGGTTGTTTCTTGGAGGTGGAGCTCTGTTTTGATTGTAATGTTGTTGTGGATGGGTGTACGGTTGAGCATTCATTACTGCATAAGAATGAGGGGCCATAGCATAATCTGCATCCTGGTGGGGGTAATAATGTTGTGGGGCCTTGGAAGGTGGACTAGAATAATCCTGGGGTCGACGAGAGTTTCTTAAGCTCGAAGCCATCATGGCTCCCTCTTCTTTTTTCTTCCGACTTGCTAAACCTCTCGAGCCGCTCTGAATGGCTTGGGAAGTGGCTCTTAGAGCTGATTGACTTAAGTTGCGGCCTGTTTTTAGGCCGTTCTCTACCATTTCTCTAATTTTGATGGCCTCCGCGAACGGTCTACCCATGGCAGACATCGTGTTTTGGAAATAATCGACCCCTTGGGCCTGTAAGAAGACACTGACCATCTCTGTCTCATCCATCGGGGTTTTACCCTGGCCGCTTGTTGACGCCATTTGATAGCGTATTCTCGGAAGCTTTCCGAAGCTTTCTTTTTGACGTTGGTCAAAGAATTTCTGTCCGGGGCTATATCAACATTGTATTGGAATTGCCTTACAAAATACCGGTCCAGGTCATCCCATATATGCCAATGGGAGATGTCTTGGTCCATATACCATTCAGAAGCAATTTCGGTGAGGCTCTCTCCGAAGTAGGCCATTAACAGCTTCTCTTTTCCACCAGTGCCCCTCAGTTGGTTACAGTATCGCTTTAAGTGAGCAATCGGGTTTCCATTCCCGTCATATCTTTCAAACTTTGGCGTCTTAAATCCTATGGGTAAATGCACGTGAGGGAACATGCACAGATTAGCATATGACACGCTCTTTTGGCCACTCAGGCCTTGTATATTCTTGAGGCTTTGCTCAATGCTTTTCATTTTTCATGCTATCTCCTCTTGTT